GACGAGATACCTTTTCACAATGCTTTACTTTTTCAAGGCCCGTGCTGCTTTATTTTTACAAGGCCTGAGGCCTATATCGGGTAAAGGCCCTTTTAAGGAGCAGGAGCAGGAGCAGGAGCAGGAGCAGGAGCAGGAGCAGGGAGCAAGAAGGAAGAACAAGAAGCAGAAGGAGAATGATGCATGCATGTGACTGGCCTATCATCTGAGCAGTTAAGGGACAGACAGTGATAGTGGTATTAGTGGAGTGCTCTGTTCCAAGGTTTATGTCAATATCAACTTGCTGTGAAATGTAATGTTTGGGAGAGTTTGATACAAGCATTCCGGTCAAAGGACAATGACGCAAATTGACCGAACACGCAACACAACCCGGACACTACCTTCTTCAGCTGAATAAAAGTTTATTATAAAACGCCCACACTTTTGTTCGAAACTTCGAATATAAAGCCCACACCGCTTTATATCCGAATGAAACTCCTGGACACATTTACTAGCTTGTTAGAGCAGTAGCTTGTTAAAATGAGCGAGCTGAATACGTCCAGACTCCAGGTGTTCTATTTGAATGAAACACCGGGCTTTGTGATCGAACTGGCTGAATATAAGGCCCATACTGCTTTCTACTCGAAATAAATATCCGGGCATTCCATTTAGAGGGTCGTTCTATTCGAACGAAGACAGCCCGAAAAAGGAAAAGTGATTTCCTTCTGGGTAAGACTGGCAAGTTGAATAGAACGCCTGTGCTTTATATTCGGGTGAAGACGGTAGTCAACATGAAAATATAGCATTTCATCAATTTTCATGTTCATTTATATCTGACATTGTGAGAGTACCGCTGCGTTATCGAAAGCTGAACGAGTGAACGAGTGAATGAGTGAGTGAGTGAGTGAGTGAGTGAGTGAGTGAGTGAGTGAGTTGGTTGATTACCTGCTCAACGATGGTTTGCTGATTCACTTTTTCTGCAAGCTCAGCTTTGATGCCATCTGCTTGTTGTTTCAGAACTGCCTTTTCCTTTCCGCACTGCTCTTCAAGGAGAGCAACCTGAAATTCCTCACGCAGACACCCCTTCCTCCGCTCGCCCCCCGCGCCCCCAACCCCCCAACCAAAGAAAAAAAAGAACATGAAAAAAAAGAAAAAAGAAAAAGCAAGCCTGTGTGAGAAAAAAAAGTTTAGAATCTCTAGATTGTTCAAATAATCCAAAACCAAGACAGGTCCACTGTGGACTCGACCTGCCCACGACACACGTGCTTCGCACACAAATGCAAGGAAGATGAGCAATAGCGAACTCCAGAACGCAAACAGCATCATACATAAGTTACCAGATAGCCATGACCTCGAACCATAAGCAGAATGGCATCACGAGTTTCACCCAATAAGAACACAGCAATAGTTCGTGATTGACAATGCTGAAGTTGTCTCCCATCATCATCAACAAAGAACAAGASTTGATATCCTACTGGCGCTCGGCGCCCAGACCACAAGATGGCAGGTCCTATCTAGCCTACTACTACAATGCCGAAGTTGACGTCAACAGCTTCACCCAAGTACGAGCATATGCGGCCAATGCCGCTCGTCTCAAGCACCAGGTATGTCTCCCACTTTGCTCTCAACCCCGATCCTTACCACACAGATGCCTCTAGCACCCAAGGACCACCCCAGCGCCCCACCTAGCAAACAGCAGGCAGCGTGGCTATGGCTGCCTGCTTCTTCCTCACTAGCCCGTGAGTGCGAGGGCGCCAGCCAGCAAATAGCGCAGCAGTGCTGTCGCAGTATGCAGCCAGCACCCGAATGTCGAATGAGGAGGCAGGCCCTTCCCTATATCGAAGTGGCCTGCCTGCGTCCAGTCCRGGAAGCTTCCAGTAGGCCCCGGTAGCCTGAGGCCCAGTCACGAAGAATGCAGGCATTGGGCCTGAGGTAGTTGCATACACCCAACTGCTTTCGGCCTGTGCTTGGCCCGGTACCCGTACCCAGCCCAGGGCCTGCTTTACATTCATTCACACATGCGGCCCAGGGCGTGAGTTCATTCAACCAACTGATGCTGTGTAACTGCCTGAATTTCCCCATTTGCGGGGTACCCTGAAAACGAGGCCCTGAGGGCCTGTCGTGCCTGCCTTCACTTAGGGCGGCCGACCTCGCTGCAAATAAGGCCCGTAGGGGCTAAGCGGGCGTAGCCTCGCACAAAACCTCCTTCCTCACAGAAACCACAGCGCACAAGAGAGAGTGCAGTGCACCTCCCCACGAAACAAGCCTTAAAAAAAAAAAAAAAAAAAAAAAAACAGAACCTTAGGGTCTGCCTCCTTTTCCATTCTGGGACAGTGGGGGACGTCAGTCCGGTTCCTATTCCCCCGGCAAGTCAGACGAAACAAGCCCAAATGGCGGTGGCTTCTCAGAGCTCAAATTTGGCTGGGGTGCTCAAAATCACAGCGCTCAAGAGAGAATGCAGTGCATTCCTATGTTCGGGACGTCAACACTTTGCAATGAACCCAGTCAGATGGAAAGCTCAACAATGTCGAAGTACAGAATGTCTCAGTGCAGTTTCAATGTCTCCGAAATTGTACATGTAATCAAGCAGTCCAATGTCTCGTGACCAGAGAAGAAGCTGATGGGAGGGAGATAAGACTTAAGAGGGTGGAAGAGAAAGTACCCATCAGCTCAGCAGATAGATCTCCCTCACAAGCCCACTCCTCCTTCGGGCATCCTCTACTCGCCACGTCAGCAGACAGTCTCCTCTGCCATGCTCTGATAATGAACAGATCTCATCATGGCGCACACGGCACAGACTCCTTCTGAAGACGAACAGCAATGCGCAATGTCGACACGAACGCAAACAGGTAGGCTTTCCTCACATTCGACCAATCTCACAGCCCTGATCCTCCTCCTCCTTGCCAAAATCCCATCAATGTCGTAGACAGTGTGGCGATAGCCACGTCAGCATACTCAAGTGTCCAGCTGGCACCGTAGAGAGAGAAAGGCACCAGCACCAAGCAATAGCAGTCCTGTGTCGTCGTCCAACGTCAAACCAGCGTAGTGCCAGCGTCGAGCCAGTGTAGAACCAGCGTCAAGCAGCACGTGCAAGACTGAATGTCCATCAGCAGGGCTGGGTCAACTTATAGGTTGACTCGCTTGACAAGCCTCTGGTCTCGCAGCTACGATGACCCAGATCGTCCGTCCATCAATGGCCTGGATCTCGTACAGTTGCAGATTCCCGTCATGATTCCTTCCGGATACCTGCAAATAACCAAAGGTATGTGTCTGATCTGTGGCCAAGGCTGGGTGCGTGTGGACTTTGACTTGTGGGCCTGAATTCACGAGCTGAGGTCCACTGTTGACTTTCCAAAAGTCAACTGTCTCACGTTAGGCTTCAGGAGACCGCTTCTGGCCCTTCTTGCCGTACCCCATAGTGATAGGCCTTCGGGCAGGCATTCTCGTGACCTGGGCGTGACCTTTGACCCCCATTTCAGGCCTTTGACCAAAGTGACGACCCACAGCCACAGCGGGTGCATATTTGAGCCGAGTTATTGCAACTTCATCTTTTGCAATATCAAACCATCGGACCCGCGATCCGGTGGACCGCACACAGCCACAATCACGCAGCTTGATGCATTGGGATCACCTGCGCCTGTATGGAGAGATTGAAATATCAATCAACAAACAAACAAGAAATACTTAACGAAAAGTGGTCTGGTGGACATTACCAACAACGGTAATAATTCCTTGCAATAGGTGAGTGAGTTTAGGAATCGACGAGTCACTCTGGCACCCTAAACCAGGCAACGCACTCTGGCGGTAGCTCCGGCGCGAACCACAATCCGCGATCCAGCCACTTCATCTTGTCATCGGTTTTCAATCTGTGAAATGTCTTCTTGCTGTTAAATAAGAAGAGAAAAATTTAAAATTCATACTTACAAGAAGGATGTCCTCTTTTTCTCCATTAAGAATAACAAACTCTTTTGTTTCTCTAAATAGTAAGAAAGACCCGGTCTCAGCTTGCAAGACCAGGTCCATCCTCTTGTTTCTTTGTCAGGCATTCCACCTCAACTGGTATGCCTACCTTCTTGCTGTGAGTTCGCTCCAACTCTGCTCGCTCATCTTCACTCTTCCTCAGCTTTGCAGTCAGTCCTTCCAAAAATTCCTTGGAAGCATCTACTTCGTCTTTCCGTGCTCGCTCCTTTTACATCCCATTACCTCCTTCCCGCTCCACCCCAAAACCCAATGCCATCATTTCCTCCCC